GCTACAAACAGCTCCACCAACTTTTGTGCCTCGCTTTGTGGCTTGCTGCATGCTGCAAGTTGCTTCATTTTCCGTAGTGCACGCTCACCTCTAAAGCAAACTCACACACAAACACACACGTACACAGTGCTGCGTTGTCGATAATAATGATGCTGTCGACCGCGATGAGGGTTAGTTGACGGCGCCCGCTCGTGCTTGGCATTTTGTTCCAACTCGCTTGATTGCCGCCAGACGCCTCCTTTTATAATGCTTCTATACACATTAAGACAGCATGTAGATGTGTTAGTTGAAGCGATAAAAATTGGAAAAAAATTAATGCAGAAAATGTTAGTTGAAAACTTTGAGCTTCGCAGCTTCATGTTGCAAGGAAACGTGAACATTTTCCAACAATTTCATGAACGCACAATTTTTGCAGAGCATTGGTGACAGAGAAAACATGACGTACACACTCACAATGCTGCTTGTGTAGTCATTTTATTTGTATGGCTGCAAGTTCAAGCACACTTTTAGGCGCAGTGAAGCAAAAGTTAGATTTTTGTGAAACTTGCTGCAGAAATTTCAAGAAATATGGCAAAAAAAAAACAAAAGGTTGAAACAATAGTTGTATAGTAGTTTGTGCGCGTGGCATGAGCGATATGGAGTGATTTTAAGTGAAAATTTCGGAGAAAGTAAAATGAAGCTAAAGTAAACTTCCAGAGAAGTTCACTATAGTAGATGGCGCAAATTGTAGACAAATTTAGTGTACACCTAAATTATTAAAGTGCATTTTTACAACACTCTTTCAATATCTTTTTATTAAATGAACTAACAAATACTGACAATTTATTATTTGTAATATTTAAACCAAAAATTTTTTGAATATACAAGTAGTTATATATAATTTTTATATATAAAATTATCTAATTCTCTCACTTTATCGAGAGGCTGACCTTAAAATAATAATTAAACTTTTACAAAAACACGCATTTATTGAAACATATTAATATGCTTCAAAACGGTTAAATCTCAAAGCATCCCAAAAAAATTCCAACGGAAAATCATCTAAAACCGATTATAACTAAAAATCCTCAATAAAAAAGGAAAAAAACGTTCCGGCAAATTAAACGGAGCTTCGACCTTACCGTTCAGGCAAACTTAAGTAATTCGACTTAATATTTTTGCTCGCCGCTAAAGCATAGCCAACAGATATAGCCGACATACAGCAGCTAAGCAAGCAAACAACAATAAAAATGCCATAATAATAATAACAACGTAGGTTGAGCGCCTCCAGCTAAGTTATTTGAGAAAAAATGGCAATGCAGCCGAAACAACAAATAATGGGTAATAATAATTCAAATTTCTTTATTGCTACACAGGTTGAGGGGCATTTATAAGTAGAACACTGAGAAAAATTACCTATAAAATCTAACAAAGGATGCTGGCATGCGAAGTATATCAAAGAATAATATTTATTTTATGCATAAATATTTCCAATTATATTATATAAATCAAAAATATGCATAAAATATGTGCAAAAGTAATGTTAGCCCCTTGAGGTATGCTACGGAAAGAAATTTGTAATTCAACTTAAGATTTTCAGTGAAATTAAAAATCTTTTGCGAGTGTTATGACACAAAGCAAAGGATTTGCGATAGATATATACACCTGTATATTCTATATATTGTACATAAGTACTATTTCTCAAACTCTTTATATTCTTAAGCAAACGCATTTCTCCTGGGAGCACGGAACAGTTTCCACAAAAATTATTGATGTCATTTCGATATTCCTGCAAGCACGCCTAACCACTTACGCATATTATTACAAACATATATATTTTTGCGCATATATTTGTAATGTATATTGATATAAGCCTGTGAATATGGCACAAGCGCTCCTCTACGTATGCTAAGCCTCAAGATAAGCAATGTAAATACGGAAAGTAACGAAGCAAGTTTGTAGAAAAAAAATGTGGAAGCTTACATACCTCAATAAATTCAAAAGCTTGACATGTTATTAGGCGAGGGGGCGTGGCACACACTCAGCAAGGTGGCATAAAATACAATATTTTGGAATTCTTTGCATCATTGAATATGGAGAAATGGCAAAAAAGAAAAGAACAAAGCTTGCAAAGCGGTTAGGAATGTAAGTGGAAGGAAGACGGTCGAGCGGTGCACGTGGGAGAGGAGAATGTTATAAGGAAATACAGCTGGAGGCGCTGCTGAAAATATTTGGGTGCTAAGTTGCCGCTTTACGGCAAAGCGACTGAGTTTATATATGTATATAAATACTATCACATATCTAAATATAAGCCTTGAAGCTTCGAGATGAAAGCAGGCAATCTGCCGCACACACCTATTTATTTATTTTGTGCTCAGCGATGCTAAGTGGCAATATCAATCATTGTTAATGCAGTGTAAAAACTGCGCTTCGAGGCGAGTGCGCACACATACAAAGTTAAGGTTCACCAGTTAAGTGACGGTGTGTGTGTGCTATGGGCCACATAGATTTGTATGTATACGCACACGTGTGCAGGCCTGAATAGCTTGGGCGCAATGCAAATATGTGGCAACAATAGACGCAATTTCTTGTGTGCGCGCAGCAAAAAGTGTGTTGTTGGCAGAATATGCAGGCGCTACAATAACAAATAAATGTGATTATTGTAACTTCTTTGGCCTTTTTCAGCACGGATATTCTTATCTGTTTTTGCTTTTCCCCTTTTTTGTTGCTCTTTTGCTTGTATTTTCTTGTTCCTTGCCACACATACAATTTATAAAAATTATTCACGCAATAAATTGTAACGGAATCATAAATAAATAACGGAAGTGTATGCCGCCGCAGGCTTGCTGCGCTGAACTGAGCGCACGCCTTTGCCACAAATTAGTAGCATCGCTATATTTTCTTCTTTCACTGCAGTAGGCTTGAGTTTCTATATATTCGTGTGCATGTGTATGTGTGTTTATGCGACAGCCATTGCTTGTGTTGGCGCTTGTTGCCGTAAGACGCTAACTCGGCAGCGAGTGTTTCTAGTTTTGCACATCATATTTTATTTTAATGATAATTTGTGCTACGGCCCACATTATTTGTGGGTTTTTTGCTTTGCGGCACATACATATACATACATAAAATATCCTGTGGCGCTTTGTCGGCGCTTGCTACTCATACAAATGTATATAATTATGAGTGCTGGTGGGGGTTTCACTGTTTTTCGACTACGTGCTGCTTGCTGTTGCGGCAGGAATTATGATAATCGCTCATGCAACAAACAAAAATTATGTTTTGTTCATAAAAAATAACAACAACAAACAGAAAATAAAATTGCTTGCCACTGGTGTGGAAAACCGCTTTGTAATCCGCGAAATCCAGCTATGTTGCCACCTGGAAAGCATTTTGTTGTAATTAACCCTCTTTTGTATTTATTTTTCTCGCTGTCTCCATAAATTAATTGCTGAAGGATAATGATTATGTACGCATTAACGCCCACACAAGCAATGCTTTCACGTCTCTAGCGCATTCACTGCATACTTTTTGGCGCATAAATTTCGCGCTGCTCAATTATTCTTCGATAGCTTGACACTCAAACGGTTAATTGCAATTTGGGTCAATTGCTGCGCTGCTCCAAGCGCGCTACGTTTCAGTTCTTCTTTAAAAAACAAAAAAAAAGTTTCTACAAATTTTCGCTCTTCATTTGCCCTGCACACGTCGATTTCGTACTTTAAACCAATATTTATTCACTCTTCCCTGCATATAACTTTCTCTACTTCGCAGTTTTTCGCTTATTGACGCAGGTGTGCAATCCTTACCGAAAACTGCCCAAATGGGAAACGTAAAAAACGCGCAATATTTATGCGTTTTCCAACCGAAAATTTATGCAGTTCATGCGCCATCTGGCGTACGGAAAATAGCAAAAAAAAACTGTGCAGGAATATAACGAATTCTTCCGTGACTCTGCCGTGTAATGGCAGAAAAATACGATTTTTATTCAATTTTTACGCTAAAAAGTGGGTCAGTAGTTGGTGCTGGTCCTGTGTTGGATTTGTTGTTGTGCGGTAGCACTTGAATTGATGCATCGACTCACATTTGTGGTGGAAATGAACGCATTTATCAAATTGTTGTGAGTACCACTTTGGCTGTGCGCAACATTGATAACAAAATGAAATTATATTTAAGGGCACTTTATTGCTTGTGGAACAGAAAACTTAATTGCAAAAATTTTAACTGGCAAATAGTAGTTATATATTGAATGGAGGAGAGCTTTCAAATATTTTATTGGCAGAATTTTAGAAATAATATTCTTAACAACTAGAGAATTTATATTCAATGAAACACTATTTTAGAGCAAAGAGAGAGGAAATACAAGTAGGAATCATTTTGTACTTTGGAAAAATTGCAGAGTGCTGAATCGAACACACAATTGGTATAAATCAAGTATACTGGTATAAATTAAATAGAGTTAGCAAGCGTTTATTTAGTCGAATGCATTTGCTAAAAGCTTTGAAAACTTTCACATATTTATAGTCGGAATTTTACAAGTAATATTCTGAACATTTCGCAGGAGAAGAAAATTATTTTAAAGCTAAGACAAAAGGGATTGAAATAGTTTTGAATAATTGAAAAATTAGCAAGTGGGGCATCGAAAAAAAAACTGGCATAAATGAAGAAGAGTGGTATAAAGCACATGAGACAGTATTACCAAGCGTTTTATTAGCCGAAACAATCTCTAAAATTTTTGGTTGAAATAATGTTGATCTATCTCAAAATACCTGATTTTCGTAAAGGACAGCAGTTTTCTGTTTACTACATTGGTAGTTATTCTGAAACTAGTATTTATATTTTCAGAACGTTTTTTAACAAAAACAAAATTTCTAAAAGAAAATAGATGATATGCTCTATGCAAATAAAGTTTTGAAGCTCGTTGTATAGAGACTATAATAATATTCACACATATCACTCGCAATATAACAGCACACTCAGCTTTTATATAGAAAAAAGTATAAAGTAATATACGGCGTTTTACTCACCTTTCCACTTAATACCGAACGCGCGGCAGATATTTCACTTGGCGGCACTGTACCCGATTCTGTGCCCAAAGTCTTAATGACATTCGAGAGACCGGAGGGCACAGAAAGTCCATGTGAGTTCTCAGCTCTGACGAGAAAGACATACGATGTAGCTGGTTTCAAACCCGAGATCTGAAAAAAGGAAATAAATTAGTACATTTTTTTTTTTTATAATGGAAGGAAATGCATTGACGTGAATAAGGAGTTGATTGGTGGGAAGTTTAACTGCTTGCCAAACAAACTGGTTTTGTCAATAAGGCTATGTACATAATGATTCAGCACTTAAAAGTGTTATGGAATTGAGACGAGATTATAAAGATATATCTAAACTAATTGTTATAAACACAGTTAGAGAGCAAAATCTAGATAATTTTTATGTACCAAATGTATTTTTGGAAAACTTTCTAAAAAACGGTTGGACGGATCGATACATTTATCAGGCAGCGATTGAAGGAATACGATTCTTTCGAGCGTAAATATTGAAATGTAAGTTTTTTCACAGCAAACTGCATTTTTTTTTGGGTAGCCGATATTTTGTAAAAAAAAAGAAATTTTTTTACATGTCCTTCAAACATTATCTGAAAACATCTATAGTTATATAAAATTTTCGTGGTTATTGGCTTTAAAGAAATTTTAAGAAAAACTTTCCTGACTGCTAGAAACCTTTTTACGGAGATCCTCTACGACTACGTATCAAAAGTACCCAAAAATTTCCAAAATAATTGATAATTATTAAAATATATTAAATTCTGTAGGTGTGCATGTGTTTTTTTTCGTATATTAAATTAAATGCCTCTTCAAAAAAAAAAAAGCACAAAAAATGCCGTTTTTCTGACTTGCAAGTGGATATAACCCTTACAGTTTATTCCTTTAGTTTTTGTCTTTAAATTCTAAGTGCTCGTTAAGGCAACAACCAAGATGCATTAAGCACGTTGCACGCACACATAGGTAGAAAATTGCCACTTTAATATATGCATAAACTATTCCTTAGCTAAAGATATGAAGACGAGCGGCATACACATGCCCAAACATATTTCTAACTACCCGACTATGTGGGCACTAAACACTAAAAGCAGTTCGCTGCGGAAAAATTAGATGCAAATGTGAGCCACTTTCGGTTAGAAAGGTAATAATTTTAGCTAACAGCCTAAACTAACAAAAAAACAAATAAAATTGGGCATTTGCATATCGTTGGCAGTATGTAGAAGCTCACAAAGAAACGCATATGAGCTTATTTTTATGCTTGTATGTGTTGGAGATATGAGAAAACCAGCAGAAAAATTGAAATGAATAGCCGTTTGCAAACATACTTATACTCTATCTACATAATGTATGCGCAAATTTTCACTGCACACACACATCAATACTTCGTTGCACAAAGGCAACAGGACACCTGGTGAAATTGGCGAATTTTCATTTTCTCTTTTATCCCACTTATTACCAACTCATATGAGCTCAGCAAAGTACTTATGCATATGACTCTGCGGGCGCCTTTAAAATGTCGCTGCAAGTAGTGTATACATTATACTTACCGTTATTTGCTGATCAGGCACACGATGTGCGGCAATTACCCAACCTGTCTGCAGATCCGAACTGAAGTACTCCACCGTGTAGCTGCAAAATGAGACGAGATAAGCGTTAGAAGAAAGAAAAATTAGAATACTTAGGTGTGTGGGTGTGTGGCATGATGGCCGTTGTGACAAAATAAAAACAGGGAAAACTGAAATATTGTAAAAAAAAAAAATACTTTTGAAATGAGGAATGTGAAGTGTGGGGATAGGATGCTGTGCAAAGGATGCCCAGCTGGCCACCAATGGCGCAAATAGACGCAGAGGAGTAAAGAGATGATATATATATATATATATATATATGTATGTATATATAAGTATGTATCTATGGTACTTGTAAGTCATTAAAATTTGCATTTTGCAACTAAATTAAGCAGAGAATGTTGCAAGCACAAAATAATGAGGAATAATAGAAATTAATGTAAAAAATGGAATTGAAGGAAGAAAATAAAATGTTGTGTATAAAATGTAGCGGCGATTTCTATGAATTTATATATCAACATGAACCGTTTTCTTTTATATAACTAAAGATAGATTTTAAAAGCTTTAAAGCATCAAAAATTATTGTAGTAAAGGTCTGTGGTAACGGCGGCGGTATTTAATAAAATTGGAAAAAAGGAAATTATGATATAATTTAAGGCTGATCCGATGTCCGAACATTGACCTCTTATTGGATAAATAAAATAAATTTGCCAATCCATTTCACGTCTTTAATTGACGGGAATCCAATTTATAGAAGATTTTGCGCAAGGATCTTAGCTTGCAGGCTACCAAAATCCAATTCGAGCAAAAATTGAAGCCGAACGACCAACAAGCGCGTCGCACGTTCAATGAATATACCCAAAACGAAATGGCCACCGATACTGATTCTCACAAGAAAATTTTGTTCAGCGATGAAGCTCACTTTTGGTTAATAAGGGACCTTAATAAAGAAAACTGTCGCATTTGGTGTGATGTTAATCCAAAAGCTATTATTGAGATGCCGTTACATCCTCAACAAGTCACTGCTTGATGACTGACTCTATAGACAAAATCAACGATTTGTCCATATTTCTGCCGATCATGTTACAATGAGAATGGCTATAGAGCTAAGATTAATGACTATTTCGTGCCTGAATTGGTGGATGTTGATTTGGACAAATTTTTGATTTCAACAAGCCAACGAAGCAATAAATTTATTGAAGAAAACTTTTGGTGAGCGGATTACTTCGCGTCGTGCGCCTGTGCCGTCCCTGCAAGCGCATATATTCAAATATAGACATAGACACATAACCTCACATTTTTATACATTCCAAAGAAGTCAATTGCAAAATTTGGAATGTCTTTTACAGTTGCAGCTGCAGGTCTGGGCGTGTTTATCAAATGCTAGCAATGCAATGCTTTTTTCTAGCAACAACAAGAAAAACCAAAAGGCCAGCAAACAATAAACGCTTGCAATTGGAATGTCGATAAGAGCATCGAGAAGGCAGGCAGTCACTAAAGCAAAGCCAGAAGGAGAGCAGCTTTCCAAAAACAAAAACAAAAACAGAGTTGGAGGCGTCAACAAAAAATCTTGCCACAAATGCATATGCGCATGTGTGCCTGTAGAAAGTACGCGCCATTGTGTGCCGCCAACAAATTTTAATGATGCCCGAAAAAGTCAAAGCTAGCTAGCTGGCATTGCAACATGCAACTGGCGCACATTCGAAACGGAGAACAAAATTATAAAAGCGTTTGCTGAGCGTGTTGTACGCTGCCAAGCTATGGCGTGTGCCATTTTATACTTTTGATTATGTTAATTTGCGCAAATCTAAATCGCCATCACCAACAAAGCAGCCACAGCGCAGCGAATGCGAAAAGAAGATGTGGATGAAATTGCTTGCAACAAATAGTTGTAGAAATGCGCTGGAAAGAATTGCAGATTGTTAGCGAATTGCAAGAATGCATAGCATGGTCGAAATGCGCGCCGTTTGACCGCCAAACGAAAGCTTTGTGCTCAGGGTCTTGCAACGCTCAACAAAAACATTGACCGCGAAATGGCCGACGAAATGCATTTGCGTTGCATGTGGCATGCAATGCGCTTACCACAAAGCCACTTGTGGTCAATGGCAAACAATGCATACACACACACACACACACATGCAACATACTAAAATGTTGCCACAAAATATAAAGTGAACTAAGCGTTTAGCCAGACGGCCGCCGTGTCGAAGCGCGCCGTCACTAATCAGAGTGCAGTTAGAGCTGCAGCCACAGCAGCAACCGTTAAATGGCCCAAAGCTGCTGTAGCTCTACAAAAAACTGTATTATTATTGTGTTTTCATAATTTTTTTGCTGACTTTTCCTTGGTTGCCGAGCTTAGCGTTTGTGTTGCAAGTACAATGTGTTGATGGCATAGCAGCAAAAAATTTTAAAAATTAAAAAAATGTGCACTGCTACACCGCACTATAAGCTAAACATACAAAAGGCATGCGAAAAAGAACACCTAACAAAGCTTTGCCACAAACAATAGCCCTAGCGCATACGTGCTTGCAACACTTGTGTGCTATGTACCAACAGTTGCCCGTTGCAGCTAGCGCTTTCAGTGGATTCACTTAACTTACTATAAGTCAAAAAATCATAGCGCATACAACAACAACAGCAGCAGCGTTGCAGCGGCCTCGCATCCATGTAAAATTCGTTGAAATTTAATCGCTTCACAGTTCAAGTTTGCTGTTGGCAATACGTATTTTGTTGTTGCTGCCACGCCTGTTAATCGCTATGTATCATTCGCTATTCCTGCGCTGCCACTTAGCTATTGTTACAAAAGGAATTCAAATTTTCATTGGCGCATGTTGCAACAGTATACCATAAAATAACAGTACTTTCGCTTTAAGCGTTAAAAAAATAGTTGAGGTTGCGGCTCATTAATTGCCGAAAATCGATTATTTAGATAATTTCTTCGAAATTTCAAGTGAGTTGGATCTAAATAGAGTTTCTCCGGAAACAACAAGATAACAGTAGATCTAAAGGAGATCAAAAATACGTTCAAATTTTAGTTATATCCGCGATTAGAATCCATCTTAAGCCCGTTACGTTACTTTAGTATCTGAATATACATCTGATCAAATCTGACTCGGACTGCTCCATTTAAAGTGCGCGCACAAACTGAATTAATCTTTTTTCTGATTCTTTTTGATTGATACAACCTTTTTTATGTTTGTGTGAAAGCATTAGAGAGATAGCAGAGAATCTCGACATCTTCTATGTATGGTATCGGCACAACACAATTTGGTTAATGTTTTGGGTATGAAACGTGTCAATGCTTGACTTGTGCCAAAAGACCTGAACCTTTTACAAAAACGAAGTCGGGAGAAGTCGCAAAAGAGATGCTTGATAATAAAGCTGAGGAGGAGCGCGCCATGAGTCTATGTATTGAAGGCATTACCTGTCATTTGTTAAATCACTGAAAGCCATGCCAGTCGAGGTTTATACCATGTGTATGGAAAATCGGATTAATCATTGACATGCTTGTATTGGCTGATGAGAATTTTTTTTTTTTTTTGAAGGTGACAAAATATGAAACAATGGTGTTATGTTTATTAGTCCATGCCAAAATTGATCAGATGGTATATCAGTTGCTTGTTTGATACACCATTTTACAGAGGAAATTTAAAGCACATTCGTAATTATTTTGTTTACGTCATCATTTTAATTAATTTAAATCGAAACGATTGTTACAATAGAGATTAAAAATGTAAACCCCAAAAAGTTATCAACCAAATTTAGACTATGTGATTGTTTGCACTTACGAACTCTCAATTAGGGTTATTTTATAGGGAAGTGTTTGTACTTTTATTCAAAGCAGTTAAAAGCAAAAGCAAGCAGCAACAACTTTGCTTCTCTACAAATAGTGAGACCACTTCCGCACATTTACAACCACCACTTTATTATTTGTTCAATATTCTTTATGCCACACAATCCTTCAGCTATTTTTTGCGCACAACAATAAATGAAGCCGTAAAGCAATTTGCAAACCACTTCAAAGCATAAATTCTCGCTTATTGGCGAAATTGAGAGAAATTGGCTAAACAAAAGCAGAAGTCAATCACCCAGCCAGCGAAGCTAACGCCGATAAAAAATACAACCTCGCGACTAGTCACAAAGGACCACAAAGGAACCAAGTGTTGAATAAGTAAGGTGGAACGAAGCTCGAGCAAAAGCAAAGGCAGTGCAAAGCAATTTGCCTAACAACGTAGACAAAGCAAATTGTTGCAAGGAAACTTGTGGTAAATTGGGAAAAATTTCGGTTATTAGTTGCCACCATACAGAAAAAAAAAATACGGAGAGGAAAATTTTGAATGGCGCTTGTGCGCTTTTAAAGGGTTCGTAAACTTTTTACCAAAGCAAAAAAAAACAAAAACAAAGAAACACAAAATGAAGCTAAAACAACAGCGCAATTTTCAAATGAAAAAGAAAATATATACTAAATAAATTGCTTAATGTAAAGGGAACCAGCTTGTGTGCATCACTCACCCGATAATTGGAGTAGTCGCTCCCGGCTTATCTTGGCTGCGCGACCAACGCAAAGCGATGCTGTGCTGTGTGACGTTCACCACCTTTGGTGTGCCGGGCGGCGCTGGATAGGCGCTTGGGTCCACCGAGCGGTGCAGCAGTGATGAACTGCCCTTTTCCACCTGCCGTGCAACAAAGCACAAAAACAAGATTATTTGTTTTTATTACAGCAGATGCGGTGGCGATGATGATGTGGCGTGATTTGGCGATGAGTGTAGCCATCAATGCATGGTTGTTGTTGACCGCCGTTGTTTTTGTTATTTTTGCGTTAGTTGGTTGCGATTGATCATAGCGTAGTTGTCGTTGTTGTTGTTTTCATGCGATTCGACGCATTATAAATGGTTGTCGATCGCCATCGGCGTTATGTCATCACAGTGCAGCCAAATTGCACACGGACGAAATGCAAATATGAAAAGAGAAGAAAGCAATGCAAAATATGAATAAATTGTTGTAAAATTAAAAAAGATCAAACATTTTTTATTGTTTTTGTTATTGGTTTAGGCTGCAGTTTTACTATGTGTACACTTGTAAGTATGTATTTATGTGTATGTGCCTGCCTCCAGTTTCCGCCGAGTTGTAATTTACCGTTGACTGACAAGCATGATTGGCATGTTGACAGACAGTTTGCCGTCACAGAACCACCGAAAAAGGTTGTAGACTCTTATTTCAGCATTTCGAGGGGTGGCAACCCCCTAAGCCTATATTCATATAAATACAAGTACATATATAAACTTGTTTGTAGAAAGAGTAAGCGATTAGCAGACTTCAGCGATCAGCAGAGTAATTATAATTTGATGGATTTATTACCAACTTCTTGAAATCTCTGACAACTGAAAAATTCAGTTATTGATATGTTACAAAATATTTAAAAAAAATTACAAAAATTATCAAGATAAAGGGAATATATATAATATATTTATATTAGTTCACTTACATAAAAATATTGCGTTGTAAGATAAAATTTACTGTTATATTTAATGCGGAGTATTTTATACAAGAACTTCGTTCAGTCAGTTTGTATGGCAGCTATATGCTATAGTCACTCGATCTGAGCAATTTCTTTGTTTAGTTCTAAGTTTCTTGGACAAGTTCGCATATATACAGACGGACGGACGACATGACTAAATCGACTCAGCTCGTCAACCTGATAATTTACATATATTTTTTTATAGGGTGTCTGACGCTTCCTTTTTAGGTGTTACAAACATCATGGCAAACTTAATATACTCTGTTCGGAGCTTAAAAATCAATGAATCAAGTTCAAACTCAATTAGTATTTTTTATATGAAACTTGAGTAATATGCTTTCATAATAATTCCGACTGATATAAATGCGATTTACACCTGAAAACCACTGAACACATTGAGAACAAGCATTGATATTAGCTAGTTTTGATTAAAATAAGGAGCCACACTTACTGAACAGGGGTGGAAAAAGCATCATTACAGCCTACATTCTCAATTTAATGCTAGAAGTACAATGTTTGGAACATTACTCATCGAGCTTGACTTCATTATATCCTCATAGTCAAAATATTTGAAAAAAATTTCTATAAGACTTCAAAAGATAAGATCTAAACTCTTTATTAGTTCGGATTCGGATTTCTGTCTTAACAAAGAAGAGCAGCATCAACCAGAAAAGAGGCTATTAGCTTCTTATTGCTTTCCTATCATATGAATATGCATATCTTGTTTTCTTTCACAAAATCAGTTTCCAGTCTGGGGAAAACAAAACTTACTTGGGAAAATGATATTTTGCGATATATATAGGTAATTGGATATGCGCGATTGAAATTTTTTTTGTTTAGATATTGAATATTTATGCTTAAAAGTAAAGACGGATTTCTCAGTTGAAAAATGGGCTGATATGCAAATAATTGTATGGGTTTAGCGTAAACTTTCAAGCTTTTCTAATAAAAATATTTTTCTTCGAGAATATAATTAACGAGGCTTTAATAGAAATTTTCGTAAGAAGGCAGCATCTGTTATCTGTATATCTGTACTGCCAGAGCGGGCTGGTACACTTATTCCGTCCGGATTAGTACAGCATCAGCCTATAATGATCTACAAATTGCTTCAAAATACCATCTGATCAAATTTGAACTAAACCCAATCGATGCAATTTTTTTTCGAAGATTAGTAGAACCTTTTTTATGTTCATGTGAAGTTTTATCTCCATATGACAATTAGTGTATGATTGGCAGCTATTTGCTTACGACGCGAAAGCTATATCCGGCGGCTTTTACCATAAAAAAAATTTAACAACGAGTTTGCTTAAATTTTGAGTTTCCTAAGTAATCACGGCTGCATTTCTAAAAAGGTTGCAGAAATGTTTTAGGAATTCTACTTCACCACGAACATAAATATTTCAGGGGTACAAAGTACTTAGTGAAGTTCCTGAATTCATCGAGAACCTGTCCCATGCGAGTCACTCATCAGCATCTGTAAATGACGATAATATCGAAACCATGCTTGATATCATCGTCGTGTTGATATCAGAGAGATGCAAGAAGATTTCAACATCTCTTATGGATCATCTCTATACATTTTGGTTAATGTTTTGCATATGAAGCGTTTCAATGCTAGACTCATAACAAAATACTAGAATCTTTTACATAAACGATGTTGAGTAGAGGTCGCAAAAGCGATGCTTCACAACATAGCTGAGGACCCTACCATTCATTAAACGCAGCATTACTGCTAACGAAATTTGAATTTATGAATATGACGAAGAAAATGTCCAACTATCTAGCAAATGATGCACCATATATGAGGCAAAACCGAAAAAAAACTAAATTCGATAAAGACATAGAGGTATATAAGAAATGTTAGGAAAGCTGAATAATTATTCATTGACTTGCTCGCATTAGCGCCAAAAAGTGGCTAATTTGAAGGCATTAACAAATATTTTTATTAGAATTGGTGAAATTGTAGTTTTTTAACAGTCCGGTTAAAATTTGATTAGATGACATTGTTTGTGATAATGCTAATATTGCTCTATATTATGTCTTGTCACTTTAACTATGAATCAAAGAAATTATTTCAGTATCAATAATTTGCACTTTGGACAGCTTAAGCTATTACTGACAACATTTTCAACAAATATTGGGAAGGCTTATCAGGTAAGGAGACCTCCTAATGTAATTGGGGGTAACTTATGAGTGCAACTAGACGTGCGGTTTTAATTTGGTCGAAGTTTGTTTAAACTACATAATTACCCTTCTAAGTTTCAATGTGATAGTATAGCCAACCATTTCTAAGAAAGTAACGCAAGCGAAAACTTTATATGCATTTCTATTCGCTGAAACACTTTTTCGAAGGAACTATTACCCAAATGTGGTAAACAAATCAATAATAACTGCGATAATTAGCATAAAAAACCTTTTAAGTACTAAAAGAAAAATTATAATAATAAAATATTCTGAAAGCAAGTTTCACAAAGCAACGCTAAACACAAGCAGAGCATCACTAATCCCTACACACATTCAAACATATGGTCACACTTTGTCAGCTAATGGTAGGCAACATGATTTTAAGGTGTCGCCGCCGGAATAACTGTCATGACGCGGCTGACGCACAACATAATTTCCATGTTTTATGCCACTTACAAGTCTCTTATCTGCGTAAGTGTCAACATTTTCGCACGCCATAAATTTTGGCAGGACATGCATAGTTTTTTCACTTTAGAAAATATAAATAAAAAATAGCGAATTTTTCGAAAAGCAAAAATCTTCGTTGTAATCTTACAAACTATTTGGCCTTACGGCAACAGCAGCAATATTTACAAAACCTTTATGCCACATTTACGTGACAATTGCGTTGTGGCACACGAGTGTCACATAAATTGCGCATTTTATATGCCGCGCTGCCAAAAGCACCTACCTGCCACATTATGTGTATGTGTGCGTGCGTTTGCTTTTGTGTGGGTCAGAATGGCGCAGAAACCTAACAGCAGCGCGCTTGAAGGCGACACAATCAGTGACAGTTATGTTGCATGCGTTTGTGCGTGATTTTATGCACTACTTTGTAGCCGTGCACTTTGTGCATCAAAAGTGCTTTTCTCGAAAATCATCAACTTTGCGAAACCGCAATTTAGCTATACAAGTAAATGTGTATGTGTGTGCATGCGCATGTGTTAGCATTTTTATGCGGCAAGTGGCTTCGCGCGCTTCTCACAATCGATCGCAACTAGCGTTTACTAATAAAATTTGCATTTTTATTAATATACCAGTGGCAGCAAAAACATGCGCGTAAAATTGTTGCAACAAAAAAATAAAATTGCAAGCAAAAAATCTGCGCTCAACTAATAACAACTGTTTACGCACCTTTGTATGTATGTATGTGCTCTTGTTGTAAATTTTTATGTTTGCAACTTTTTTCTGTGCCACAGCCCACTATGCGGTGATTTGTCGTTCTAAATGACGCGTAATTGCACATAATTTGATTTTATTTAACAAAAATTTCTTTTTTTTTAATATTTAGAATACCTTCTTGGAAGGGCTGCTGTTGCATCAATGGCACTTTGTAATGACCGCTGCTGGTCATAGTTATAGGTATTGTGTTGCATGGGCGCAATTTTCAACTCAATTTGCATAAAACAATTTGCTGCGCTTGTCGAGAGCATGCTCGGGTGCAGAGGTAGGTGACGCGCTTGCATGCAATATACATATATGCTGTTGCATACATATACATATATATATTTTCCGATTCATGCTGCATTATTACCCACCAACGCCAGCCTGACAGTCCGTTTATCAGTTCTGTAAACTCGTCTTGTTCGTTGACCGAACGGGGCTCAGCTGTCAAAAGCCTGCCTCAAACCACAATAACTTGCAACGCGTTACCTTCACGTTATTTGGTTTGTGGTTTAATTTTTGCAGCCTCATTTTATTGTAATTTATGCGCGGGCAGTAAGCGGCAAGTGCAGTGGAAATTGCCAAAAAAAAAAAATATTTTTATAAAAAATCCCAAAAAAGCAACAAAAAAAATTCCTACATAACAATCATTTGCGAAAAAATTACTCCCATCCAGTCGAACGGCAAGCTTCAACCCCACACCTGCCTCTTAATGTACAAATAACCGCTTGCCGCAGTACCCTGCCACATTGCACTCATATCAATCGC